TTTGGTTGTCACATACCTGTGAAGCGAGCTGTGCAGTCCCACGTGGAGGAAGAAGAAGCGGCCATAGCCGCGGAGTGTCACCACGGAGTAGCGAAGGAGGGAGAGAGACCGGACAGAGGGGGAGAGACCGAGAAGGGAGAGGAGGCGGCCATAGCCGAGAGGTGAAGTGAGGGCCGGTCAAAAAAAAAAAAAAAAAAAAAAAAAAAAAAAGAAAGAGAAGAAGAAGACAGTCGGGGTGACAGGAGGCGAGGAAGGTGTAAAGGGAAGAAAGAGGTTGGTGAGGAAAGAGAAGCCGACAGCCATAGCTGACCGGAGGGTTGACCGGAGGTGTTGACCGGCGTTGACCGGAGTTAAAAGGTCTTACCGGGAGTTGACCACAGCGTTGACCAGCGTTGACCAAGACTTTGACCAAGCTGGAGCGGGCAACATCTCGCCAAGCCTTCAGCCTGTCCCTCGCCCTATGGATGTGCACACAACCCTTGGTACTTGCTGAGTCCAGTCTGTCTGTCTATTCTTTCTACATCGAGTCTCTTATGTCCTAGGTGATAGTACTCTGTGGATGAAGGATAGGGTCTTGTTGACCAAACCCACACGGGATGAGTATAGCTAAAGACTGTGTCTGACGACTCGGCTGTCCCAGAGGTCAAACCCTCCCAAGGACCGGTACTGACCGGGGGGCTGCTCGGTGTGGCACAGTAGGCCCGAAATCCGAGCTGTGGGCTGTACAACAGACCATCAAAGACCTGCTGATCGCGTCGTCCTGTCTGCGACGTTAAATAATCCCTGAGGAGTTCAGGGGATCTCCTTAAATGCCTCCCGATCAGCAACAGGTCTAGTAGTGACAGCCATAGTTAGGTCTAGGCTAGAGACCATAGTTGGTAGGATCCTTGTCAGGATTCTGCGAGTCCTTAGATTGAGTCAATAGGTTTGTCAGTCAGGGGTTAGAGTCTACGTGGTGAGGTTTGGAACCATTGATCCGGTTGTGTACTGATCACCATGGTTGAGACCCGTAGTGGGAAAGACACTAGCCCCTACACCCAGGAACAGCAAGAAAAGATGGCCGCCCTAGTGAAAGAAAACAAGGAGAGGAAGGAGCTCGAGAAGCAGGCGAAGCTAAAGGCTATCGCAGAGGAGCAGGTGGCTAAGATGAAGAGGGTTCAACAGGAGGAGGAAGAAATAAGAAAGGCTGCTGAAGCAGAAGTAGCAGCAGAAGAAGAAAAAGAGAGTGAGGATTGAGAGTGGAGAAGGGAGAGGTGGCACAATGAAGAGGGATGCAGATGCTGAGATGGAGAAGAAGATAAGTGAGTGGGTCGCTAATTTATCGTTGGGAGAAGACGAGGAGGCGGAGTCTTATGTGACTCAGGATGAGAGGGATGCGCTTGCCAGTGAGCTAGCAGCAATGAAGGACCCTATGGAACGGCGAGAAAGGGAGGAGGAGCAGAAGTTAGCATGGAAATTGAGGAAGAAGAGGGAAAAGAAGAGGAGGAGAGAGGAAGTCAACAAACTGACCGCAGAGATGGCGAAGGTGCAGGAGTGTAGGAAAGAAGTGGAGGTGCAGGCAGACGACAAGGCCAAATGGGATAAGGTGTTGAGCTACCTAGAGGTGTTGAGCAAAGCATGGATGGAGGAGCGCCAAGCCAGTTGGAGCCAAGACGTAGCTTTGAGTGTCATGCGATCGGGATTTAGAGACTTTGCGCGCGATATAGTCACCCACATTGGGGGCGAAGTCAAGCAACTTAGGGACAACGTGGGGAAGTTTTGCGAAGGCGCCATTGAAGGTGCCAAAGCAATAGTCGTTGTAGAGGGCGAGGTAAGACCCCGTAAAGAGCCTGTAAAGCTCAAGTTCCCAGACGCGTACGGGGGGAAGAAGGAGGAGAACTTTGACAACTGGGAGGCCAGTGTCAATAGTTATATACATCCTGTCAGAGGAACAAGTCCTCGTGGTCTTCCAGGCCCTTAAGGATGAGGCGGCTAGTTTTGCCAGGTCCCTTGCGCGCGCAGCCGGTTGTGAAAACAACCTGGTTGCATATTCAAGAGTCACCCCCCTTCCTCAATTTTTTAAGCTCCTGAAGGAGCAATTTGCAAACCCAACAACAGGCGTTCGCGCCTCTGACAAGCTACAAACGATCCACTCGTGACAGTGGAGGAGTGCAAGAGCACTCAAGGGTACCATGGACGACTTGGTAGTCGTCCCAGACCATGGGGTCACTGAGACCCAGTTGATCCAATTATTTTATCGTGCCATGCTAGAGGCCCTACGTGGGCATTTCTTTGACAAATCTCAACAGGCCAGCATCACTTATGATGCATTGAGTAGAGAGGTGGTCCTATATGAGTCGAAGTCCATGCCAGTTACCACCTTCTGGCATAAGGATTTGGACAAGGGAAAAAGGTGGAAAGGTCGTACCATCTCAGTCCAAGTGAGGGCCAAGGATCACATGATCCTTACTTTAGAGGAAGGTGGTACTGATGAGGTCCCATATAGTCAGATTGAGTGGGGCCTAGAAGAAGAGAACGGTAGCGTGGGACAGGGGAGGTCTTATGCTGCTGTCGCAGCTGGAGGGAGGCCGCCAGTTAGAGGAGGAGGCCAGGGCCAAAGGGGCCAGGCCATGGGAGGCCGAGGACCAGGCGCACAGGGGGTTGGCGGACAGGGGGTTGGCGGACAGGGAGACCGCCAAGTGGGAGGTAGGGGTCAAGGTCCCCCGCCAAATCGCCAGGGTTCTTATCGGTCCCCACAACGACGAGGTGGAAGGGCACCTCAAGGAGGATGGCACCCAGGCTTGCCACAGGGCAGGCCCTGGGAGGATTTGGGCTTGGACCAGTGTTTATGGCAGGAACGCATGGACTTGGGTCAGCGCGTGTTTTGTGGTGACCCGGCCCACGTAATTAAATGTTGTACTAAGTATAGAGAGGCCCGTTGGGCTGCCCAGCAGTCAAAAGGCAGCCGCCAGTAGGGGTTGCAACTGCCCCTACTTTAAGGCCATGTGGAGAAGTGAGCGCGCGCGAACAGGACACTCCCAACCCACATGAGCCTATGGTAGAGGTTGCAGGCCCGTGCAGCTAGCTGTCCAGAAACCGCCTCTGCTAGCGTCTCTTTAGACATGTCCCTCACAGGTGTGGCAAAAGAGTTAAAGGAGAGGATGCCAGCCTGGGCCAAGATGAAGAAAGAGAGCAAAGGACAATTGATCTTGGTAGATGTAGAAGTTTTCAGGAGTAGAGTAGGGGCCCTTATAGACTCAGGGGCCGCCCGCAGTTATATTAGCTGTAGAGCGTTGAAAAAGTTGAGGCTAGGATTAAAAGTCCAGAAATTGGCAGACCCCATAATCAGTGTCCTCGCTGACAACCGCACAATGCGTGTTGAGGACTATGTAGAGGGAGTCCAGGCGTACTTTCGCCTAGAGAAGGATGGGAAGGTGGAGAAAGTTCTCCATTCCCTGACTCTCCTCGTACAGGATGACCTTCCTTTCGACATAGTGTTGGGAATGGATTGGGGAGAGGCAGCAGGGGTCATACTCCACTTGAGAGAGCATGCGTGTAGGCTCCCTAGTCCATCAGGCAAGGTCAAGACTGCCCGCCTGTTCCATGTGTCAAGTGTAGACAACACCTTGGCACATTGTCGTCTCAGTGTTCCCACGTTCGCGAGATTAGTGAAAAAGGAGCAGTTAGAGGACCAGGTCTTTGTAGTTTATGTTAGACCTGTCACTGAGGCCAAAAAGGAAGACGGTTCCACAGATCCAACCATAGCCAAGCTGCTGGAAGAATTCAAAAACTTGACTAAGTCACCGACAGGAGTAGTGTCGCGACCCATCCAGCACAGGATAGAGATCGAGCCTGGCAATAGAACTCCTAAGGGCGCAGTTTACAGGATGTCCCCTAGAGAGTTAGAGGAGCTTCGCAAGCAATTAGACGAGCTTCTTGAGAAAGGTTAGATCAGGCCCAGTTCGTCTCCATTTGGAGCACCAGTTATGTTTGTCCCAAAGAAGGAAGGAGAGTTTCGTATGTGTATAGACTTAGGGATTTAAATGCGATTACTGTGAAGAATGCTGAACCACTGCCCAATATAGACGATCTTTTAGATCGGGTGTAGGGTTGTAAGTATTTCTCCAAGATAGACCTGAAGTCCGGTTATCATCAGATAGAAGTCCATCCTGATGACCAGTACAAGACTGCGTTCCGGACTCGTTATGGGCACTATGAGTTTATAGTGATGCCCTTTGGACTAACCAACGCGCCAACCACTTTTCAGCGTTGTATGAATGATTTGTCCAGACCATGGTTAGATAAGTTCGTAGTAATTTATCTAGATGATATCTTAGTTTTTAGTAAGACCCTCTAGGAGCACCAGGGTCATCTGAGGCAGGTCTTGGAAAAGTTAAAGTCAAACTTCAAGATCAACGCAAAGAAGTGCGAGTGGGCCAAGACGCAAGTCTTGTACTTGGGCCACGTATTGGACGGAGATGGCATTAAGCCAGAGGACAGCAAGATGGCGACGATTAGAGATTGCCCGATGCCCCACACATTGACAGAGTTGCAGTCGTTCCTAGACCTAGCTAACTACTATTGAAAGTTCGTGAGGAACTTTTCTACTACCGCCGCTCCCCTGCGCAGGTTGCTTAAGAAAGAGGCAATCTGGCAATGGGACAAAGACTGTACGTCTGCGCTCAAGAAGTTGAAGCGCGCCTTAATAGAGTATCATGTCCTCGAAGTAGCAGACCCGTCCTTGCCATTTGTCATCACCACGGACGCAAGTCAGTATGGAATAGGTGCCGTGTTGCAGCAAGACGACGATAATGGCTATAGACCCGTAGAGTTCATGTCAGCGAGGATGCCCTCAGAGAAGGTCGCTACCTCGACAAACGAGAGAGAACTCTACGCTCTCAGGCAGGCTCTAGACCACTGGAAGCATTACCTGCTTGGGAGGCACTTCAAAGTGTATTCCGATCATGAGACCCTTAGATGGTTGAAGACTCAGGCCAAGATGACACCTAAGTTGACTAGGTGGGCCGCAGAGATAGACCTGTATGATTTTGAGCTCAAGCCAGTAAAGGGCGAGTACAACGTAGTTGTGGACGCTCTGAGTAGGAGATCAAACTACTTTGGAGCCATAGTACACTATCTGGATATAGGGAGAGACCTGCAGGAGAAAGTGAAGCAAGCGTATGCGCAGGACCCCATCTATAGTGACCTTCTAAAGAGAGTTAGAGAGGCCCCAGAGTCAGATTACCGCACTATTGAGGGATTACTGTTTAAGAAGACTAATGTGTTTGACCGCCTGTGCGTTCCCAACAGCGAAGAGATCCGCAGTTTGATTTTAGGGGAATGCCATGACACAGAGGGACATTTTGGTTGGCAAAAGACATTAGCCAATCTGATGCGTGCGTACACCTGGCCAGGGATGAAGAATGACTGCATAGAGTCTGTTCGCAGTTGTAAAGTGTGCCAGAGGAATAAGACTACTACACGCGCGCCCTTAGGTCTTCTCAGACCATTGCCTATTCCTGATCAACCTGGAGATTCAGTGTCCATAGACTTTACGGATACTAAAGTCAAGAGTAGGCATGGCAAGAGCCAAGTCATGGTCATAGTTGACCGTTTTAGCAAGTTAACCGTTTTTGTTCCCTTGCCTGCAGAGGCACGTACGGATTTAGTGATACAAAAGTTCTTTGATTTTTGGGTTAGTGAGAATGGAATCCCATTGTCAATAGTTAGCGATAGAGACTGTCGTTTCACCAGTCAGAACTGGCAAAAACTCATGAGAGTCTACGGATCTAAGCTGTTGATGTCGTCTGGCTGCCATCCCGAGACAAACGGTCAGACTGAACAGATGAACAAGATCCTACAGCAAGTTTTGCGCATGTACATTAGACCTGATCAGATCAACTAGGACGAGATGTTGCCCAAGGCTAGCGCATACAACAACAGCGTGCATTTGTCCACCTGTCGCACTCCCAATGAGTTGCACAAGTCCTTTAGGCCGCGCAGACCATTCGAAAGACTAAACCGGGATCAAATTCACAGACTACCGCCCGGTACCAAGGAGTTTGCGATACAGCACGAGAAAGAATTAGCGACTGTTGTAGAGAACCTCAGGAAGGCCCAACATAGAATGATAGAACAGGCTAATAAGCACCGTCGCCCGTCACAGTTTCAAGTAGGCGACTTAGTCTTGGTCAAGGCTAAAGAGTTTGCGCCTGAGGAAAACATCTCGCAGAAGTTACTGCCTACATATAGAGGACCGTGGCCGGTTCTAGAAGTCAAGGGCGAAGAGAATGGACCATCCTACACTATAGAGATCCCAGCACACATCCACACATACCCTGTGTTCCACGCTCCAAAGCTGTTGCCGTGTGTCACAAGCCAACAGTTCCCTTCAAGACGATCTATGATCCCTCCGGATAATATTCTCGGAGGGCCTCGAATTTAGGAGGACAGGAGTGAAACGGTTTTCACCTTTTGCAGTAACAGACGCAGATCCCAGGGCTCGATCCCTAGACTTCACCCTACCCATGTACAGTACCTGTGTGTGTAGTCCCTGAGAGTTGAACCTGTGACCTGTGTATTCGTAGACAGTTGGTAGGTCTGTCGTAGGTCCATAGGCAGCAGGGGTTCAATCTATAGATCTATAGAGTAGAAGTTTTAGCAAGTTCCAGAAGGCTAGCTGTAGTCCTTCTAGAAGGTCGGCAAGTGGGCAAGTGGTCAAGTGGCGAGTCAAGTGGTGGACTATACTGCAGTGCAATCCCAGTACGACTACGGTAGGTTGGCAGTGAGTCAACAATCAGTCAGCGGTAAGGTCCAATCAGTCCCAGTCCGGTCCAGCAAGTACCACGGGGGACTGTGAGCACCATGGGCCGTTGGCAAAGGACAGACCAACGAGTTTCCGAAGTATAAATCAAGAGGCAGCACCCAGCCTTTCATTCATTCTTGCGTGAGCCATGCGGAAGCGCTGCCACAACGACTTGTGCAAGGAGGTCTGCAGTGGGCCCGGAGGACGCAGTGGCGAGAGAGGAGGAGCTTAGTATAGCGATAGGGTAGGCGCAGCCATAGCTGCCATAGCTATAGTTAGTGGGAAGTGTGAGTGTGTATGTGTGAGTATTCAGAGTGATGCGTGTGGGATATCCAGGGTGATCCGGTGTGTGTGAACAGTGAGTTGATTGGGCGCTGAGGCGCCATAGCCAACTGAAAGTGAACTCGTATCTGGAAGCCATATCTCTGAGTTTTGAGTGGGGGCATATCAACTTTGCTGCACTGCTGTTTACATGCATGAAAAGTGTGAATGAGAGTGAGTCTGATTGCAAAAATGGCTGGATACATTCCTCTAAGTGCCAGTGTGATCAGCATCACAATCCTTTGAGGAAACACAGCTTGAGCAGATCACGGATTCCACTGTCAGATTCCAGAAAGAGAAAGAAGAGAGAAAAAAAAATGGTAACAGGGATTCGGTCGTGAAAATGGCTGGATACATTCCTCTAAGTGCCAGTGTGATGAGCATTACAATCCTCTGAGGAAACACAGCTTGAGCAGATCACGAATTCGGATTCCGCCCTGCCTCGTTGGCAGGGGACTTAAAACAAACACACGAGAAAGACAAAAAAGGAACCAACGACTTTCAGAATGTGACCGTGTTTGCAGTAAGATGCATTTTGTACCCTACCCGACATCATTGCAGTACAGAAAGCTTTTTTTTTTTCCCTTTTCCTTTCACGTGCGGGCAAATGAAAACTACAATTTATGGGACTTGGCGACCCTGGGTCCCACCCTCCATTTCTTCGGGAACTGGCAAAAACTGGTAATTTCCCAACACGGGCAGAGGTACTACCGGTAGTGGGTAAAAAAAAAAAAAAAAAAAAAAAAAAAAAAAAAAAAAAGATTTCTCGATTTCTGTGTGTCATCCTTATGCAGGGGCCTTGCTAATGTTCTGTGTATTGCTCCAATTTTAAGGGATGTCGCTTCTTTTCTTTCATTCCTTTGGCTTTTTTCGTGGTTTTTCTTTTATTTTTATCTCTCAGCCTCAATGGAGTGGCCAGTCTGCCACCGTTCAGATCTTGCTACATCAAGCTGGCAGTTCGAGCTTCATCATCAGATGGGCATGTGATTGGAGGTTGTGGATGCAGTAGAGCGGTTTACGGCGTCCAGTTTGATTTTTAGTTCGGTTTGCTGATGTCGTTATTGAGGTCATCCTCCAGGCCCCGTTTTTCAACTTCATGTCAATAATCAGTAGAAGGGGCCCGGAAGGCGATCCCTTGACGTTCGTCTTGATTCCTTGTTGGTAGGTTGTAACAACCAATTAATACCTTAGTCTTTCTGTCGAGTTAACCAACGTGATTGATTTTTCATAACTTCACAATCTGTGATTCTACCATCGTAATCATGACATTCTTTGTCATAGGAGACAAGTTTCTCTGCCTGATTATCCATAACCTTCTGTCCCAAAGGTTCTGTAGCTCAATTTTCTAACCTCAAATTCTTAATAAAATTCCTAATAAAATTCCTAATAAATCCCTAATAAATTCCTCATAAATTCCTCATAAATTCCTAATCTTGAATTCCTTAATTCCTTAACTTCATGCTCCCTAATTTTCTTCTCTCTAAATTCCTAAGGCATTACCTGATTATCTACGAAACTCCTAATGCTGCTTAGTTTGAGTCTTTTAGATCTCATATGTTCGTGTCAAAGCTTTGTGCCGCGCCCAGACTGGAAGACAGACGGCTGTCTTTAAAGGTCCAGGACGAGCGCAGTGGGGTGACCCGAATTGTTTGACACGATTTAGTCATTAGAGTCCTATTTCCCCCGTTGTAATCACGAAATTCTTCAAAAAAAAAACTGGAGGTTGAGCACCCCGGTGGTGTTGGGTGGTTTTGCCTGATGCCATGCCAATACCGTCATGTCTTAGTTTATGGATGGCTAATGCCCAAACGATGCTGGCTGGTGCTAGGGTTTGGTCGCGCTGCCCTGTAACCCGAATTTGGTGGGGGCATGACGCCTTGTAGAGAAATTTGGGCAAGGCATTCAGAGGCCATCCATGAAGCTACCAGCAGGACGACGTTGACCGGAGCCAAGGCGGGTCGTGCTGCTTTGTAAACTGCCATGGGGGGGTGTGAGGCCTCGTAGAGTCCTGGTTTGAGGACAGGTGGTGAAGGTGGGTGCTGGTTGATCGGATAGCACTTAGGTTGTTTTGGCTATATGATGTTTGGAGCTTTACTGAAGTAGCCCTAATTTCTACTTTTCGCAAAAACAAAAAACGAACACCCTTGTCATCCCTTGTTGACTGAAGAATTTCCCAAGATTCTGACGGTTCCCGGCAATTTATCCGAAGCTGCACTGAAGCTGCGATATTCAGAGATCTGCAGCTGTTCGATGCCAGAACGATGCTGGTCGGAGCTGGGGTCCTGCCCTGTAACCTCCTCTACATGGGGGAGGAAGACCTGGTAGAGAGATCTGGGGATGCTATGCGAGAGATCTGGGGATGCTATGCGAAGGGCATCCCAAGGGACAGCTGGGGGTCACTGACAGGATGACGGGGGCCGGAGCTGGAGCGAGTCGTGTAGCTCTGTAACCTAGCAGGTAGGGGGTGTGAGGCCTGGATGAGCCTGGCCGAAAATAGGACAGTTTTGGTGAGCTCTGTTTGGATCTGCTGGACCCAAATCTAAATTGTATTGGACTCGAAAGATAGCACGCGTACATTCATGATGAGGGTATGAGGGTACATTGTACTTGGGTGATGAGTCTGAAGACAATAGAGCTCAGGAGAACACAGTCAGTAGCAATGACAAAGTTGGGATTAGTTTCAGGAGCAGGAAGATATTGAGGAATGCAAAAAGCAAATAGTGTTTCTCACTGACGCAGGGGATGCTACCTTCTTTCCCCGAATAGAACGTATGGTCATTATCACCGTATCTAGACTGGAAGTTTCCCCAAAGACAGCTTTAATGATCGTACGTTCTATTCGGGGGACGACAGTAGCATATGTCAGAGCTGACGAAAGGAAGACTTATCGCACTGCACCAACTTCCTGACCAACCTCAGGGTTCCCTAACCCCTTCCCTCACACAATCTGTGAACTATGGTATGGGATGGGATAGAAGAGGTCTGTGTGTAAAATGGCATGAACCCTCCTTCCCCACCTGCTTTGCAGTCTACGCCTGTTGATGAAAGTGTGGTTTTCGCTGTGTTTTCAAATCTGACCAGCTGTCAAATGAACTAGGACAGGGTTGGTGTGAAGAAGTGTTCTGTAGCCTCTAGTTGAAGGTGATAGGCCATTTCTATTTCTATGTTGCACCCCTAAGGAGCAGTGTCACTCAAAAAGGGATGATTACCCCGGTTGTCAGCAGGTGATGCAGCCCACCAATTGACGTAGCCTCAGCAGACAATGATGGCAGACGTAAACCCTGGGGCCTCACCAGGGCTGGAGGCTGCCCCAAAACGAGGAGGTCTGAATTTTTTTTATAATAAAAACCACCAGTGCGTTTCCCAGCCATTTTCCTCCGACATGGCTGCATGCGCATTGGAAATTTTGGGGGGTTTCTTTTTATTAAAACCACCAGTGCGTTTCCCAGCCATTTTCCTCCGACATGGCTGCATGCGCGTTGCAAATTTCGGGGGTCCGCCTACCGAGCAAAATGGCTGGGGGCACCAGTCGAAAGAAGGTCCGTAACGGTTTGTTTTTACTTGGTGTTCAGTGCGTCACAATGCTCGACAAGGGAAGGGTCAAAAGTACTGGTGGTTTAGGGGAGAAAAAGACAGCCAGAGTAAGCCTCACTCCTGACCAAGCCACAGAAAAAGAAAAAGACAGCCAGAGTAAGCCGCACTTCGTCCCTTGGCACCGCCACGTTGTACTATGTGGGCTGGGCGGTATCATGTGCCATGGGTGAAACTATGTGCGCTGGGCTGTGGCATGTGGACTGGGATCTACCGTGCGGGGTGGGCCATACTATGCGGACTGGATGGTACGAACACA